TCCTTCAGCCTGAGGCTTATTCATTTCACTTTTGGTGTGAAAAGGCTTTTATATTTGCCAAAAATAGAACTTGTTTATTTTAAAAACAAACAAACAAGCCCTGTCCAGATTTAAAAAGTAACGCAAACGTAACGTAACGCATTACTTTCCATAAAAAGTAACTAAGTACCGTAATTAGTTACGTTTTTATGGAGTAATGCGATATTGTAACGCATTACTTTTAAAAGTAACTTTCCCCAACACTGATCTTCAAAATATCTTCTTTTGTGTTCAATGTACGAAAGCAACTCATACAGGTTTGGAACGACATGAGGGTGAGTAAATGATGACAGAATTTTCATTTTTGGATGAACTATCCCTTTAAGTTCTATTTATTTTCGTAAAATTAGTGCTTCGAGTCAAGGGCTGTGGTAGAGTGGATTTTGCGACTGCAGCAAACAGACACTCTCGTGCGTTGATGCGCAACAAGCAACGTTGATCAAAAAACAACGACATTAACTTAATTGTTAATCTAAGTAAGAATGAAACCAAGAGTATTACTAAGAAAAGACTGAAAGAAAGGTGGCAAAAACAACGGGATAAGGAGAAAAAAGGTCGGTGGTTTTACAGAATTCAAAGGAAAGTGGGAGAGATGAGAAGTGCAGGGAAAAACAGGAGAGATGAGATAGTAATATCGAGGATGAGATTTGGACACACAAGACTAAATAGTAAAATGGGTAAACATGATACGGGAAGGTGTGAATTTTGTGGACAAGAAGAAACAGTGGAACATGTTATATTGTACTGTCAGAAATATGAGACTGAAAGAAGGATGCTAATGCAAAATTTAGAAAAAATAAAAATGCAATTTATACCGAGATATATTTTACAAAATAAAGAATGGAATGAATGCTATAGTTTTATTTTTCAGTTCCTTAAAATAACTAATTTATGGGAGAGAATTAAAAAAAAAATAATAATAAAAATAAAATAAGAGGAAAAAGAAAAGAAAAAAAAATTTGGGAAGGAAGTCAATTTTTGATCCACACTCCAGTCCAGTTGGTGGCGGAAATACACCATTTTGTTGTTTGTCAACCGCCAATAACATTTCAAGAAGAAGAAGGGCTGTGGTAATGAACCCTCCATTCCGGTAGATGGCGGAAGTGCGTCTTGTGAAGGACGGGAACACGGGGAATCTAACCGCGTGCAAGCATCATGGCAGCGCTCGTACGCAGACTGGTTATTACCCGCCTGACAGGGACAGGAAAGAGCAGGTAACTGTGTCATGTCATTTTGGGATTTCGTGAAAGAATCTAAGTTACATTAAACCTTCTGAAGCTAGTGCTGCCATCTACACGTGTTGGCTTCATTATCCCGTGAAGTCTGACTGGCGAACCTGTCGAGACAGGTTAAAGTGACGGGTCCTGAGACTGAGTTGATCTCAGAGCCTAGTTACACAATCAGCTGAAGCACTGCAGCATTAGCACATGAGCTGGGACAAGCCCTTTCTTACCTTAGGAGAACTTTTCTAACAAGTTGGCCCGTATGATTTGTTGTTTTTTAACGACGAGGCCCGGTTAAGTGAATACAAGACGTGACTGCTAGTTACATATTTAAATGTCTATATTAGCTGGGCGAATTTCAAGGTGAAATATTCATTCATTCTCTTCAGTAGTTTTTCACTACTTCAGACTTCTAAATGGCGACATTCTTTTAAGTTACTCATATCGAGATGCTTAGAGATGCACATGTCGGTAATGTAGTTCTCGAGTGTTTTTCAATTGTGATGTGAATTGTCTTGTTTGCAGTTTTCTGCAGCACAGTGGCTTCGGTGTCA